ATATGGTTCAGGAGTTGTTTCTATGCTCCAGGAGTAGTTTCTATGGTTCAGGAGTTGTTTCTTTGGTCCAGGGGTTGTTTCTATAGACCAGGAATAATTTATATGGTTTGGGAGTTGCTTCTATGGTCCAGGGGTTATTTCTATGCTTCAGGAGTTGTTTCTATGCTTCAGGGGTTGTTTCTATGGTCCAGGAGTTGTTTTTATTGTCCAAGAGTAGTTTCTCTGGCACAGGGATGATTTATGTTTCAGAAGTTGTTTCTATGGTCCAGGAGTTGTTTTTATGGCCCATGAGTAGTTTCTATGGTCCAGGATATTTTCTATAGCAAAGTAATAATTTATGTGGTGCAGGATTTGTTTATATGCTCCAGGAGTAGTTTCCATGTACCCAGAGTTGTTTCTATGGTCCAGGCGTAGTTTATATAGTCCAGGAGTTGTTTCTATGGTCCAGGTACAGTATTTATGGTCCAGGATATTTTCTATGGCACGGGAGTAGTTTATGTGGTCCAAGAGTTGTTTTTATGGTCCAGAAGTCATTTCTATGGCCCATGAGTAGTTTCTATAGTTCAAGAGTTGTTTCTATGGTCCAGGGTTGTTTGTATATATATTCCAGGGGTTGTTTTTATGTTCCAGGAGTTATTTCTATGGCCCATGAGAAGCTTATATGGACCAGGAGATGTTTCTATGGTCCAGGAGTATTTTCTATTGTCCAGGTGTAGATTTTATGGCCCAGGAGTTTTTTTTTTTTTATGATCCAGAGGTGTTTTCTATGGTCTGGGAGTAGTTGCTTTGGTCCAGGAGTTGTTTATATGGTCCAGGTGAAGTTTTCATGGGTAGCAAACTTATAGAGTAGAAGAGCGAGTAAAGACAGCAGCATAGTGAGGAGATGGAGTCAGTTTGTCCTCCAGCTGTCTATGAATATAGCAGCAAAACTAAGGGATAGTTCAAGAAAACCAAGCCAACTCAAACTATAGGATTTATCAAAAAGGAAATAGAGTATCATCCTCACAGACAAGAGAGGGGCCTGATAACTTTAAGCTCTGCCTCCCATTGTACACTTCGAACTCTAGGGACCACAAGTTAACCTACAGTCTGAGAGCCATATGCACTGTTAGGAAAATAAGTAAAAATAAGAGCTTAATTATAAGATGGTACTTGGTTGTTGAGCACTTTGCATTAGAAGTAAGAAGCTCAGAGAAGCCATCAGAAGTTGTTGCACACGTCTGAATCTAAAGTTAGATCCAGAAAAAGAACTGCTATAGGAACCTGATCGCATGGTCTCTTGACAGTATGACTAGATGAAAACACATTGTTTTGTATTTGAGGGAAAAAAATTTCTTGTATCATTTTTAGAAGAACATTAATAAGTGTTTTCTCCCAATGTAACCTGTGGAAAAGTTAATTCTAAAAATTAGCTTCAAACATTAACGAGTGTCCTCGAAACACTTGTACTTGTCTCACAGATGTGCTCACACGGTGATTAAGATCTGATCTCATCTCACCAGCAGAAAAACTGCTCCCACGGTGTATGGAACAGTCGTTGATCATCTCCTCGCCTGTCTTTCTTTCTTCTTCTTTTTTTTCTGTTTACTTGAGATTTCAGTTCGTGTATTCTGCGTTGAGTCTTAACCGAGTGTTTCCAACTGAAAACGTATCAGAAGTGGCTGAGCTGTGTGGGAAACGTTGGTCAGGACCCAAGGGTTGGACTTTATGGGATTTTAAGTGTCCAAAGGTCAACCTGAGCTTTAGACATCAGCCTTTTAATATCTGCAAGCACATATATCCTAGTTTGGGTCTTGAATGCAGTCTAACTGGTGTTCAAGGTTAAACAATAGGATTTATTTATTTATTTTTTAGATCTCATGAAAGCCACGAAGCAGAATCTCACATTTTGAATCGATCGCTCTGTATTCCCCGTATTCCCGTTCTTAAGAGCATGAATTTTTGTTTATGCATGAACCTTGACAAACTCCGTCTTCTTCCTTCTTTACAGGAAGATCATTGAGGTGAAAATCATTGACGACGAAGAGTACGAGAAGAATAAGACGTTCACCGTCGAGCTGGGAGAGCCCGTTCTGTTGGAGATCGGACAGAAACATGGTAGGCACGTCTGTCTGCGTTGTCGTTTCGTTTCTGTGACTTAAAAATGAAAAGTTTTGAGAGGGAGGTTTCAGATAAAGCTGAGCTGAGCTCCATCAAAGCAGTTCCAGCGTCAGACCAGGTCCGTACATTAAATGTTTTTTTGTCTGTGTTCGATCCTCCCTCCGGTTTAATCTGTGGAGGATCACAGAGGAGTCAGACATTTATGGTGCTTGTCTAATTATTTCTACAAACAGATGTCCTAACATCCGCTCTCTAGTTCATGAATGCAGTTGGAAACATTTACTGTTCGTGAACACTCTCTGAAGCACCGATCAGCATTTTCACCATCTGACTGTCAGTCATGAACAGGCCTGTCATGATAAACAATAAATCAATTAATCGCATGATTAATGAAAATTATCAACCTTATTTTCATTTATTGGCTTTATCGTTTCTTCGTGTCTCTCTCTTTCTACTGAAGACAGGGATCAACTCCGGTGCTCTTCACTGACCACTCCCTTTCTCTTTAAAATCTGTTTTAACTGTCCAAAATCGCGTTTTTGGATCGTTCAAAGCAGCTAAGCTGAGAAGCTAAGCAAACAGGCCGACCTTGAGGGGGGAAAAAACTCAGTTTTGTCAAAGCTCCAATGCGCCTTCCTCCCATTGTTCTTAAAGAAACACGCTGCTAGCTCCCTCACTATCCATCCTTCGGTTCTAACAATTTTATACTGCCATCCGGTGCTCGAAAAAAGGTACTACATGCAAAACAAATTAAACATTTCTTCTTAAATTTGACAATTTGTCAAATTTCAAACAATATTATCATTTATCGCAATAATTTCTGAGACGATTAATCGCCCGGTAAAATTTGGTATCGTGACAGGCCTAGTCATGAATGGAGCAGACTGTTTCGAGCAGGACATAACTACATCATACTGTGATATTGAAACACCAGAAAATGTTTATAAACTCCATCCATCCATTAACTTTACCCTTTCGGGTCACGGGGGTCACAGGTACCCATGTCCAGAAAACAACAATGGTGAATTTTCACAACCAGATGATGATATTTAAACAAACAGCAGTAGGATGAGACAATGAGCTCATGTCTTACTGGTAGTTTGTGTTCAAGTTGAAGATCTAACTTCCACCTCCCTCAAACTGACCAAAGGGGTCCCACAAGGATCGGTTCTAGGCCCATTTATCCATCAATTATCTTCCAGTTGTTATGGAGTCAGGTTGCGGGGCAGCAGTTCGAGCAGGGAGACCCAGACATCTCTTTCCACGCCAACTTCTTCCAGGTCTTCTGGGGACCACAGTCTCATATCTCGTGTCCTGGGACCTTCCTTGGTCTCTCCTCCCAGATGGACTTGTTTGTAAGGTGTAGGAAGATTTTCTGGTGGGCATCCTTGCCTGAACCACCTCAGCTGGTTCCTTTCAATGTGGAGGAGCAGCGACTCTACTGGAGTCTCTCGTGGATAACCAAACTTCTCACCCTGTGGAGAAAACTCATTTTGACTGCCTAAAGGGCTTTCAGTCAGCTCCCTCTTCACCACAACGGACCAGCACACACTACACAATATTTCAGAAGCTGCACCGATCTGTTTGTCGACTTCACGCTCCACTCTTCCCTCACTTGTGAACAAAAGCCTGAGATACCTCAACTCCATCAAGTAGTTTCTCCCTCACCCTCCTGGAGGATGTAGATCTACAGCCCTGATGATGTCAGACCTGAAGAGGCATCAGCCCTCAGTGGGTTTCAGCCCAGGAAATATAATAGTGTGAACGCTTATGCAGCATTCACACTATTGTGATCCATTTTTCTTCTGTACATTTTTCAGAATCTTTCTCGTCCTGCAGTTTAAGTTTTTTCAACAAATCATAAATCAAAATGTTCAGCTCTTTCAGGACAATCCTGCTATGACTTTTGGTATTGGTGCAACTTTAGCTTTTTGAAATATTTAGCCTTTTCTGCCATTTTTTCCTCACAGGAAATTAAATGAGCTCATTTTACAACTTTCAGATCTTTAGATCTGTTTACAACCTTTTACTGCTCCTTTCATGTTCTGTTCTAGTTCCGTTTCTTTTTGCAAATTTAAACTTTTTTTTCTCAACTATTTTCAGCTAATTTAAGCTGTTTTGGTGTTCATTTCAGCTTCTTTCTGCTAACTGTAACATTTTTGTGCTTCTTCTAACTTATTTCTGCTAATTTCAGCTTGTTATGCTCCTTTCAGCTTGTTTCTGCAAGTTTCAACTTTTTCTACTATATCAGCTACTATTTAGCTGTATTTATGCTAAATAGTAGCTAAATAAGTCTTTTTTAGCTAATTCCACATTTTTTGCACTCATTCCAACTTTTTTCAGCCTAATTCAGCAATAATGTGCTCTCTCCACTTCATTCTTGTAGTTTAGCTTCTTACTGCCTTTTTTAAGCAAAATTTCAGCTGTTTTGTTGCTAATTTAAGCTTTTTTCAGATAATGTCTACTTTTTTGTGCCAATTTCTGCTTCGTTCAGCCTTATTGTGCAAACTTGTGTTCTTTCTGCCTTCTTCTGCTAATTTAAGCTTGTTCTGCCTGTTCAGCTTGCTTTTTAGAAAAATTTTAGCTAATTTCAGCTGTTTTCAGATAAATTCTAGTTTTACTTGGTAATTCTCAACTTTCAGCCTAATTAACTTCTTTCTGCTAATTTCAGCTTATTATGCTCCTTTCAGCTTTTTCAAGTAATTCCACATTTTTTAACTCCATCCATCCATCCATCCATCCATCCATCCATCCATCCATTATCTTTTACCCACTTCTTCCATTTTGGGTCAGGTGCCCATGTCCAGCAATCACTGTGCGAGGGGCGAGGTACACCGTGGACGGGTCATTTTTTAACTAATTTCAGCTTTTTCACCTTCCTTCTCATAGGTTAAGCTTCTTTCTGCTGTTTCAGCTACTTTTTAGATGTTTTTTTTCCTTCTAATTTTAGCTTTTCATTTCTGCTTATTTAAATCTAATTCAGTAAATATGTGTTCTTTCTGCTTTCTTCTGCTAATTTAGGCTTGTTCTTTAATTTCAGCTACATTTCAGCTCTTTTTCAGCAAGTTCTTCTGCAATAAGCATTCACACTACATTTTCGCTGGAAATACAGTTTCTCTAGTTACTTTTAGAACACCGTCAAAGAGCAAGCAGAACATTTAAAAGTTCTCCGTGACACACTTTAGTAACACACGTTCTGCTTTTCAGCTACGTCTGACACCAGTTCAACGAACGATTGTGAGACACAGATTTTATGGGAGAACAAGGGAATTAATAGTTCAAGTAGCGAGCTGATAGAAAGGTCAGAACTCAGGAGTTGTAAAAAATGTGTTTTCGTTTTTGTTATTTCAAACTGTTTGACAGCTTGGATTCTTCGTGTTACAGCGAATCATAAACCTCGTTCTTTCACAGCAGACCGCATGCTTCTCAGTGATGATTCACACCGCTGCGGCTAAACTAACGAAGACGAAAAAGAGTGAATAAAACATGATCTGATTCAGCCGGTGAATAAAAGCCGTCAGATCACAAGGTTATTTGACAAAACTACATACAATTAAAACCCAACCAACTGTTCAGTTAACGTTCCGGTGTGTAGAACTGGGAAAATATCGACTTCACAGCAAGTTTTTTTGTGTCTAAAAATAAAAAAATTCCTTGACGGAACGCAGACTTTCATGCCAGAGTTTTAAATTAAATTAACTTATGTTGAAAAATTATAGGAACGGTAACTCCAAGTATTGAGAAACGTTCCATCTCGTCACGGTTGTCATTGAGTTGTGAATGAGTCTCAGCTACTACCACTTCAGGTTTTGACTCGGTCTCTGTACATCTGTAAGAGTTTTGGACATGCTTGTGTTTTCACAGGTCAGATGGCTGTGACGGCCATGTTGAATCGAATCGGCTGCGAAAGTTAATCAGTTGTAGAAGTCTATTCGAGTTTTTCCCCTGAATGTTTTATAAGAATCCATCCAGTAGTTCAAGAAATATTTTGCTAACAGAAAAACAGGGCTGAATCAAACAGTTAATGCTGAGGTTTTAGAGAAAGGTCTCATGTGATTGCGAATGGCTCTCAGCTTCTACGACACCAAATTTTATCAGTTATTTCGAAGTGTTAATCATAAATTATTACTGAGACCTCATTTTGATCAAACAGAATGATTTAGTGTTAAACTTACACTCATAGTCTGAAAGAAAAAAAAATTCTAATTTCAATGACGTAATTGTTTTGACGCCTGCTAATGACAGGATGCTCTGTCCGTTTGTTGCCGCAGGCGACTCCAACGAGAACAAGCCGCTGGTGGGAGCAGAGGAGGAGGAGGTGGCCAAGATGGGCTGTCCCAGTCTGGGTGAACACACACAGCTCGAGGTGATCATAGAGGAGTCCTACGAGTTTAAGGTAAGTGTGTTTGACACTTCAATGTGTTTGGTTTAAAAGTCATCTATAAATAACAGCTTCCTTAAAGTGGAACATCGTTACTGAAGACACTTTCGTGAGACAATCATAAAGTAGGCTTCTGTGGAAATGTTATGAACAATTAATATTGTTCATAATAATATATCATTAACTGCATACTGTTTAATTTATATATGTTTCCATTACGTAAAGTTATTAAACAGATTGGGATAAATTTTCATTGTTATGCTGATGATACACAGTTATATTTGACCATGAAACCTGATTAAGCTAATCAGCTACTTCGACTACAAGCGTGTCTTAAAGACATAAAAACATGGATGACCTTTAATTTTCTGCTTTTAAATTCAGACAAGACTCAGGTTTTGGTTTTTGGACCTGAGCATCTTAGGAATAAACTTTGCAGTCGTTCACTTCCTCTGGATGGCATTAATTTGGCCTCCAGTTCTAATGTAAAAAACCTTGGAGTTTTTGATCAAGACACGTCTTTTAACCCCTACATTGAAAAAACAAACAAAACCAAAACAGCTTTCTTCCACCTGCATAATATAACTAAAGTTAGAAGCATCTTGTCCAAAAATGATGCAGAAAAATTGGTCCATTGATTTATCACGTCTAGGCTGGAGTTTTGCAATGGTTTAGCCTGGATGAAGATCAGAAACTAGATTGATTATCCATTAGCTTAACCTAGATGAAAATTAGGCTCTGTTTGGCTAGCTATTAGCTTAGCCTAGATGAAGATTAGG